TATTAATAATAACAATAATAATACTAGTAATAATAGTAGTATTAATAATATCAGTAATAATAGTAGTATTAATAATAACGGTAATAATAACAATGTACCGGTAGATCATTTTTATAACACCTACTGCCATGTGCTCACAGCTCTAGATGTTATCATAATACACAATAACCACAATAATATGTGAAGTGTGCTGACAGAATGAGTTACTTCTCAGATTTTAGACCGAAGAAAAAAGAAACATCAAATTTATAGGTTGAAGTTTTACAATTTATCAGTATGAAATGATAAAAGACATGGTAAACTTGAAGAGAATGGCATTGGTTTCGAGTCTACAAATATGACCCTTGTGTTGATTTTTGGCAGATATCTCCATTCACGGATTGCGAGAAGTAACTCATTTTGTTAGCTCGCTTCACGTATACTCTTTGCTTTTCCTAACACAAACTATAGTCAAATAATGCTGGGATATAGATCTAGCACTGATGCCTCTCTTGCCATTGTTTAGAAGTAACGCCCCTTTCAACATTCTAAGGTTATTTAAGAGGCAGGACATCCGAATTTAATGTCCATCTCCAAAAGGATGTCTTTCTTGTATTTAATTGGATACAACTGATAATAACATGACAATTTTTTGTAGATTACTTGATGCTTTTTGTCTGTCAAATGACAAAATTATACCTGAGCAGATGCATGTATAATAACATGCTTACCTCTCTCAGTATCTCCTTACCACTGTATAGAAGATGGTAGAAGATGGGCAGTTGATGGTATGTGTCTGCTCCGATTTTTCCAGTTGAAGAGATACATTTTTTGGGGGTACGACCTCAACATAATCAAAGTAGTGTCCAGGGGTGTAGTGTTGGGCTGGTAAAGAAAGCTGTAATTTAAGACCACTTCCATTTATTTTACTTTCTAGTAGCCTACATCTTTTGTATTAGGAATTATTATGACGGTATGATTTTTTTTGAAAAAAATTCTATCTGTCAGGTAAGATGAGTATGCTTTATAGTTTACGTTGTGAACTGACTTGTGGCGACAGTGGCCTAGTAGTTAGGCTCTCGGACTCGCAACCGTAAGGTCGTGGGTTCGAATCTCGTTAGGGGCCCGGCGTTGTGTTCTTGGGAAAGGCACTTTGCACAAATTTTCCTCACTTCACCCAGGTGGAATTGGGTACCCGGCTATAGACAGTGAAAGATCTTGTCAGTTTGATAGTGTTTGAGCGCGTGAAATCCGCAGCTTGCACTGTATGCTTCCGTGGAAGCTGAAAATGTTTCTGAATGTTCTCAGAGGGTCTGCTGGGGTAATAGTAGTTGTAAAGCGCATAGAGCATGCTCTTGAGCATGGATATGCGCTATATAAATGCAATTATTAATTAATTAATTAATTATTTCAAATAACAAAACTAATGTTGCCAAGTTTTTCCCTGGACTCTATTACTGTTGTGTGATTCTTATCCTTCCTGCTGTGAGCCAGACGGCAGCATGTGCCCGGTCTGTGGCCAAATGCCTGCCACTTGTGTCAAGTCTGGTCAGGTCACAGAATTCTACACTTAATGTAGAATTCTGTGGGTCAGGTTCACCTCTGCTGTCATTGGCTACATGCTCTTGGGCTGTTTTTCCACCAGCAGTATTTCATAATGGAAGTCATTGTGTAGATGCTTGGGGCGGGCTTGATATGTCCAGTGTTATTTTTGTCCTTCTATCTATCCTTTTGTTGCTTTGTTAAGTGAGCCGTGTCAGCTTTCCATCATAGTTTATACCCTTGCCTTGATCTTTAGGTGTGACCTTTACCCCAGCCTTGACCTTTACTCTGGTCTTCACCTCTACCCTAGTATTGTGACCTTTACTCTCTAACCTTTAGCTCATCTCAGTGATTTGCCCTCTGTGATTGCCCATCAAACTTTTCCCTAACTAATTTGTCATTTATTTTTCCCTCCTTCTCTCCATCCCTCCCACCCACCCCCTCAGATGACGAAGGCATCAACGTGGAAGTGTCGTGAGTGAGAGAATGTCACATGACGTCGCTGCCACATGATGTCGCTGTCGCATGACGCAGCAGCGGGCGGTGTTTCATCAGTCAGGACAGTGTGTGTGTGTGGGGGGGGGGGGGAACTTGGAGACATGAACGAGGTGCTAGTGGCATGGCCTGCTGTGAGGCTGTAATTTGAAATTTTAATACATTTTTTTTGCTTTAAATCTTCTTTTATTTTGTAGGGATGAAATTCTGGTCCAAGTTTTATCGCGAATATGTATAGATTCTTCGTACGCAGATGATTTAACATGTACTCTCTGATATATGGGTATACTTTTTTTATATCTATGTTTTGAAATGATTTGTGGTTATTTGAAAGAACAAAACAAAATACGTACGTAATTCAGTTTTAGAGTTTGTGTGTTCCTCATAGGTTCTGGTTCTCATCACAGATTTTGCCAGTATGGAAGGCCTTATATATATATAATTTTATATTTTTATGCATATAGTCACAGCCAGGCTGCCTTACCAGTTCCCAGTCGGCCTTGACCCAATTTAATGACTCAAGTGGCGCGTTTGGTCCACTCAGATTTTAGTCTACAGAGATAGCTCCGCAAGTCAAATCTGCACATATCAGAACTAATATTATTTATATACGTATATATATCATTATATCATTGGCAGAATGCTATGTCTTTGAGCTCGATGCTGGTACGCTATTCCCACTACTCTTTTGTGGCCGAGTGTTAGAGAGACAATCATTGAATGTCATTTTTGGGTAGGTTTTTGTGTGTTATTTTACTCATGAGTTTTTGTGTGTTATTTTACTCATGAGTTTTTGTGTGTGTCTTGTATTAGAGAAGCTGATTCGTTTGCCAATATGAAATACGCAAAGTTTTTCTGCAAATGTTTTTTGGGGATTTTTTTTGTTTTTTGTTTTTTCTTGGGGGGGGAGGGGGGAGGTGTTGGTGACTTTGTGCGGATATTCCTACAAGAGAACATCAATTTTGTCGTCTAAAGTGGCTGTATAATCTGTGTTTAAACTTTTGTCGGTCATTTTGAAACATTTCGTTGAATCTGTGCTGGTCACAACTATATATGTTGCTGGTGGGAAGTGAGGAAGTATATATCTCATCTCAGTTGTTGTTGTGGTTGGAGGGTGCCTCAAGTTGGTTCTACTTCTTCTCTATTCCCTTTGTTGTTCTTGTCTGTCTGTCTTTCTCTCAACACCGCCCCCCACGAGAAAGAAGAGAGATAAAAACCCAGCTCTAAATGACTGCTATCATGTCGTTATGCTTCTCTTTTCTCAAGACAAAACGTAATTTACTCAAGTTGAGCGCGTGCAACTGATGGTTATTGAGCGTGTGCAACTGATGGTTATTGAGCGTGTGCAACTGATGGTTATTGAGCGTGTGCAACTGATGGTTATTGAGCGTGTGCGGCTGGCTCTTCTATTCTGTTTGTGATTAGAGCCTGTTCACTTTCGTCTGTTCACATTTTATAAAATTATAGCTCATCTATTGATGTGACAATATGCATGAAACTTCACATTGCACTCCTGTAATTCAAAAAGTTTTTTTATTTGGGCCTTATATGAAATCCCACTTTTTGGGTATACACTCAAGATCGCTCCATTTACAATAAATGATTTACCTTAACGTAGCCTACAATTTTAATGCTCATATTGAGACAGCGACACCACCCTCCACTATATTTCAATGTAATCATGTAGTTTGTACCCCTAAGACAGTCGAGACATCACCACGTGGGTCTTGAAAAATACTCACATGCTCACAACCTTAGTTTGCAGTGGCCTTCATTAACAGGCTTTTAGATTCTGTCATTTTTCGACCCATGTGCAAAGACCTGAGAAGATTAAACAGAGCGATTTGTTTTTACATCGTTGTAACTGTGGGCAGACAAAAGTGAACGAGCTGTTATGTATAGATCTAGTGAGAATTTCCTGTTGTTTTCTGTGCCTTATTCGACACCCTGGTGGCAGTCGTAACCTCACAAAGGCCTATCTGGCAACACCCTGGTGGCAGTCGTAACGTCACAAAGGTCTATCTGGCCACTCTGAGACCCTCGTTTCTTGTTGATGCAAGCCCTACATTCCAACATTCCGTGCAACGAGCCAACTGTCCTGTATGTAAAGATGGAATCTCTATACTCAGTGACCTTCTTGTGGTAAACATTGGTACGATTTTAACCCTTTAGTGCCCACAACAAGAAGGATTTTGACTCAACGCCGATGTTATGAAGGCTTATAAGCTATATATGTGAGACAGCGTGGTGAAATCAGGCTCTCGTCAATTTTGGGGCATATGGAGTTACTTGTATCATCTTAAAGCTTGTCCATTTGCCTTGCTTTGGACGAAAACAATATGTATTTATGTTGGATACAAGTCAAGATATTGGTGGTTGAAGGAGGAGGGGTGGCCTTGTTTCAGAGGAAAAATTAGCAAGAAAGTGGCCGCCAACGCTGAGTCATTTCCTAAGCTTGAGAGCCCGTGGAAACTGAAAATTTACATCTCTTGTGCCTTCAACTGTTTTCAGGACAATCCACACAGAAACGTGTTCTTTAAAGGGCATGAAAGGTGTTGAGCCAAAAAACAAAAATTCTATAAAAATTTCCAAACTTGCGGAAAAAAGCTAGTTTCTTCACTTTGCCTATATTGACGAGCGCCTGACTTCACCACGCTGCCACACTAGAAAGTGGAATTATTTATTTATTATTTTACATATGTGAAGTGTGCTGACAAAATGAGTTGCTTCTCAGATTTTAGACCGAAGGAAAAAGAAACATCAAATTTATAGGTTTTACAATTTATCAGTATGAAATGATAAAAGACATGTTAAACTTGAAGAGAATGGCATTGGTTTAGAGTCTACAAATATGACCCTTGTGTTGATTTTTGGCTGATATCTCCATTCATGGATTGCGAGAAGTAACTCATTTTGTTAGCACGCTTCACATATGGATTAAACTGTCTGAAGATAACTTATTAATTCAATAAAATTTTGACTCCGCCCCCCCCCCCCCCTTCCCCAATAAAGACCAAATAAAGCCATATAACAATAAATTATTATCCGAATTTTGAAGTTTCAATAAGAATCAGTGGCACTAGAAGGTTAAATCTGGAAAAATCTTTCTATTCATTGCCAGCTACTAGGGCAATGGAACTTGTTTCCTATCTCCTACACATCTTGTGATATTGTTATTATGGTTGTCGTGCTGCACAGCCGACCGAACTTTCCATGTTGAGGTTGTGGTTGTTGTTGTAGTTGTGGTTGTTGTTGTAGTTGTTGTTGTTGTGGTTGTTTTCGTAGTTGTTGTTGTGGCTGTGGTACACAGCTGACCATACGTTCCATGTCGTTGTTGTTGTTGTTGTTGTTGCTCCGCGGCCAACGGTACGCTCCAAGTTGTTGCTGTACAGCTTGTTGATCTGTGACTTGTTGCCAGTATTTTTGACGGGTATCTGTTGGTGAAGGTGCTTCGTTGTCACATCCAGGAGATGTACGTTCGATTCTTGGTGAGAGGTTGTTTATTGAGTATCTCCGCTATCTTTCTGCTGGGATGTTGTATCTCTGTAAGCTGGGTTGTCCCTGACAGGGAGAGTTGAGGCAGCCTGCCTCCTATTTGATCTGAATGGTGTTGATGGAAGGGTAAAACTTTTACTGTTACGTAACATTATAATTACAGTATTTTTTTATTTTTATTTTTTTTGGGGGGGGGGTATGTGTGGTGACTTTGTCATGTCGTGTCAGTGTCATTGTGACGTCACTTCAGTGACACGTCATTGTGTCATTGTCTTGTCACTGCCCTGATGTTCTGTTGTCATCATGTGGTTATCTCTTAACGCAACACGTCATGCCAAAATGTAGAGTCAAAATGAGTTTTCCTCGGGGTACTTTTTGCCAATATCTTGGGCCAGATTCAGATGTGAGTCTGTGGTTAATGAGGTCGCTATCTTTGATATTAGGTCGCATGTTGTGCTAATCATCCGCTCATCTGGTTAAATATTGTAACCCCAAAATTTTGAAATTTAAAAAAAATTGCGGTTTCATAATCTTTAATGCATTCATATATTTTTTTTTAAATCAAGTTTACGTTTAATGTGCATAGGCTCATGTTTACAGGGGTCGATGGTTGTAGATGTTACAGGCTTTGCTGTCGCAGGCTGGATACTTGAGTTTGATTCCTGAGTTGGGAGAATTTTTTCTGAGTATCCCGGGCTTTCTGATGGGATGTTGTGTCCTTTTCAGCTTTTGTTGGCCTTTTGACCTTGACAGGTTGAATCGGAAGCCCGCCTCCTAAATGATTTGAATTGTTTTGATGGGGATGTAAAAACACCTACTTTTTTTTTTATGCGTGACTATTGCTCCTTCTTTCCTATCAAACATCTATCGTTCTGATCTCTCCCCTTCTTTTTTGTGTTTGTTACTGTCTTGTAACACCTCTAATCTTCGGCACTTATATGACCTTATTGTGTTGCAAGTGCCGTAAAACTCTTTGTAAAACTAACCTGACTATTGTCAGTGTGAACTCTGCCCATTTTGTGTATCTGTTTATGTAGTCGGAGTACCTGTGTATATATACGTGAGGAAAGAAAGAAAGAGGGGTGGAATGAGTGTGTGTGTGAATGTTGCAAAAGTAATGATCACATGGGCTCACATCGATCAAAATATCAAAAAAGAATATCGCTATTTGGAACGTCAATTTCTTCATGATACTGAGCAGTGTTGTTATCATTATCACACTCACACCATTATTATTGTAATATTATCATTATTATTGTTATATTTTTTTGTCATTATCACCATTATAATTGTTAATTTCTTCTTATTATTAATATTATTATTATTATCATCATCAGTGTGTATAGGAATATGTACTGGACTCAGTGGTGTACATGTCATACAGTACTTACTCGCCTTCTTTCAACTTAAGGTCACACATACTTATATTATATCTAGATATATATATAATATTTCTATCTCTGAATCAGGTGAGTGTCTTCATTGTATAAATATCATGTTTGATGTGTCTGCCGCTCTGAAGCTTCACGGAGGAGGAGGACGGGCGGGCACCTCCGAGTCAAACGAACAACTGGTCAGGCAGGGGGGAGGGAGGAGAGATATTTTTATCATATTACGTAATATGTCAGAATGTGGTGGAATCAGGAGTTTGTCAATTTTTGGGCATACGGGGTTACTGGTATCATCTTAAAACCTGTTCATTTGCCTTGATTTTAGGGGAAAAAATATCCATAAATGTTGAATAGAAGTCGAAATATTTGTGATTGAAGAAGGTCAAGGTCGCCTGGTTTCAGAGGTGAAATTAGAGAGAAAGTGGCTGCCAAAGTTTTGTAGTTTTCGTAGCTTGAGAGTCCTTAGAAACT